GATCTTCTCCAGGGCCCGCCGTTTGGTCTGCACCAGCAAGAACTTGCGAAGAGTGAGCACTCGCTTCTTTGTTCCCACCACACAGCCTTTCAACATAACAAAGTCATTGGTCACTTCACCATAATGGACAAAGCCACCCAGGGCGTTAATGCTCTTGTCAGACAGGTCATAATCGGTGGAGGCGTTGTTCTTGATCAGCTTGCCATCCTTGATGAGGTAGCCCTGGCCGATCTTGTAGATCTTATTGATCTCAGTCCGGTGATGGTAGCCTTTCTGCCCAGCACGTGCCACAGAGAAGGCCACACGGGCAGGATGCCATGCCCCAATACAGGCAACCTTGCGCCGGCCTCTGTGAGTCTTATGGGGCAGCATCTTTGTATGCTAGAGACTGGTGACCCCTTTGTAGCCTTTGCCCTTGGTCACCCCAATGACATCGATCATCTCAACCTGCCCAAACACTTGGTTCACAGAGACCTGCTGCTCCAGCTGCTCCCGGGCCCAGTCCAGCTTCTCGGCCACAGTGCCCCCATTCACCTGGATCTCCATCAGGTGGGCTTTCTTCTGGCACAGGGGAAGTAGGCGCATCTGGGTGTGGGTGATGACATGGATGACCTGGCAGTACTTCTTCATGCTGCTGAAGTCCTTCTCCAGCTGCTTCTTGCCATCGTCATTCTTCCGCCCCTGGCCTTCAGCCCCTAGGCCTGGCCACCTCCTCACTTACCAGTTCTTATAAAAGCGCCTCTTGCACTCATCACTGATATGCTCAGCCAAGATGGTCTTGAAGGTCCGGAGGCCTCGAGGGGTTTCCACATAGCCCACAATGCCCACCACCACCATAGGTGGCGTTTCCACAATGGTCACAGCCTCCACTACTTCCTTCTTGTTCACCTTGGACCCTGGCCTATTCACTTCTTGCACAATGTGGGTCATGCCAGCCTTGTATCCCAGAAAGGCTGTGAGGTGCACGGGCTTGGAAGGGTCATCCTTGGGGAAGCTCTTCACCTTCCCGCGGTGCCTGCTGCTGCGCTTCTGAGGCAAGAAGCCCAGGGACCCATGTCTGGGGACAGAGAACTTCCTGTGAGACATCTCGCCGCCAAAACTCGCCGGTAGAGCACCATGCTGCAATCTTTTCTCCTCCATCTTCCCCTTGAGATTTTGGGCATGCATGTACACTTGCCTGGCATGAGTTTTAAGCTGCTGGCTTTCAGATTCGAGCCATGGTCAACTATTTGGAGTCTAGTGATGTAACCATTATGCCATTTGCTGGTCCCCTCATATTGAAACATTTCTATCTCTTGCTCTACAGATTATATATGTAGAGATAGCCCAAAAACTCTGGGAGATTATCAAATTCAATGGTCTCACTTATTTTTGTTAAGCCATGTTCCATATTGTTTGGCTTATTAATATTCTCCAATGAAAATCACAACTATTAAGCCAACCAACAAGTTTGGGAATTAGTGATAAACATGGACACAATCTGATTATTTAATTCAGTGTCATTTTAAAGACAAAAGCTTAGTATATGACCCCTTCAACTATGAAGTCTTTTCCAGAATAGTATCCTACCAGAAATGAATTCACTGGAGTGGGCAGTTTATTTCTACAATATTTTGAAAACCTAAGCTGAATTAATTTAATACTTACAGAATTGTAAAGGTAGTTGGCAATACTTTTAGTCTTGTCACAAATATTATAATTTAGCACAAACTAAAATAATAATTTACAGGGTGTTTACTATATGACACACTCTGGTTAGTACTTGACACAACTAGCTTACACATTTCTCACAACAATTCAGTTAGTTAAGTACTGTTATCATATCCATTCCGTAGATGAGGAAATTGAGGTTAGGTGACGTAAATAGCTTGCTGAAGATCACAGAGCTAGTACGTAGAAAAGCTGGGATTTGTAGTCTGACATCAAAGCTCAGGTTCCTGATCACTGCAGTTTCTGCCCAAGAATCAATATAATTTATTTTTGGTCAAGGCATGTGGCAGACATTAGGATGTCTACTTAACAACTATTTCCCTTTTCTCCTCTCAGACAGGACCCCTATTTTATTTGGGGGTAAATCATTATCAATTTAAAGAACTGTGGCAATTCATTTCCTTTTGTGAAGGACTGGTCTGAGGAGGGCATGTGACTGTTTTCTGGCCAATAAAAAAATTCTACTGTGGGGAAGCAGTCTGGGAAAAATTTTTCTCCTTTAAAAAAGTGGGAGCATGGGAACCAGCAGTTAGCGTAATGGCTATGTCGCTGGACTCCCACGTAGTCGACTGCAGTTCGCGTCCTGGACCTGGTGGCTTAAAATTCATGCCAGGCACGTGTGCGTGCGTGCCCACGATCCCGAGAGGAGAATGGAGGAGAAGGGATTGTGGCGTGATCATCCCCCCGGGGGGTGATTTCTCGCTTTCTGTCTCTATATCTCTCTCTGTATGTCTGGTGAGCGCACGCGCCCTATAGTAAAAATCTCTCAAAAAAAAAAAAAAAAAGTGGGAGCAGTACTCCCTTTCCCTCTCTTCCTGCTTTCTACAATGATCTCTGAGGATGTGATGCCTGGAACTATGGCAGCCACATTGCAATTAAGAGGCAACAAGACAGGAGATAAGAAAACAACATGCAAAAGAGGCAGAGAGCAAACACAAAAAGAGCTTGTGTCCTGGATGACATGATTGTGCTCAATTAACCCTAAAACGCCTAACGCTGAATTTCCCGTCAAGATGTAATAAATGGCCTTATGCTTTAAGCTAGTGTTTGTCAGCTGTTTTGTTCCATATGGCCAAAGGCATTCTAATGAATATAGCCTAGGCAGGGAAAGATGTTTCCCCAAAGTTCCAGTGAAAAACAGGTGATGTGGAGGTTATCAAGATTTTATCCAGCAGTCCATTAGTATAGGTAGTTTAGAAAAACAAAACAACATAAAACAAAACTCCAGTTTCGGCTCACATTTGGGTGAATTTCAGAAATCTATGTGATCTCTGTGCTGGATATTTATCCCCTTTCCCTCCAGATGCACTGCTTGCCCTTCTCCTTGAGCCTGACTAATATGGATTGCATCAAAAGCTCCCTTGCCCTCTGGCTTCTGGTTGGATCTGGACATTGTGATGCATCAGCAGGAGACTGGAGGAGGATGGTGAGTGAGATATAAATTGCCCAGCTTATTCCTTGGGTGATTGCTTAGGATGACTGCTTTCACCCACTGAAGGTCACAGACTTCTCTTAGGCAGCCCTCCATGTGTCTGAGTTGGGTAACCGTTCTACAACTCATGACCCCAGGGTTCCACACTTCCCTTGTGGTTTTCCACACCCTGCCCACATCTTTGTAAAGTGTCATTTGTATCCAGACAGGACCCTTGACTGCTATGATGGTGTGAACGAAATCACTGCAGCTGTTGAAACTTGGTCCAATCTATCTGAGGTCTGGTAAGATTCTGGAGAGCTATTCATAGTTTTACTAAGCTTTCTCCAACCCTGAAAGGGAGAATCTGACTGTACTGCTGCAACAGTGAAACAAAGTATCTTGGCTCAGACAAAACACTTTTCACTAGAGTGTAAGGAATTCAGAAGGCTACCTGCAAGATATGGCATTTGGGGAAAGGATGGACAGGATTTTTAAAAAGGGGATTGAGAACATTCCAAAGACAGGAAATGGTATGAGTTAAGCCATGAAGGAGTTCCTTCCTGAAAAATTCGTGCTGGAAGAGACTTAGGAATTCCTTACTCAGGTTACTTCCTTCAGATGAGAAAACTTGAAGCAGAGGTTTGGCCAAAGACTCCAACCCAGGTCTGCTAGGTATCACTGCTGGTTTCTAATCTAACGTCTACATCCACCTCACAGACTTCACCTCCCGCGGTCTGCTTACGGGTCAGTCTTTGCCTTAGATTGTAATCTTCTTTGTGAGCAGGGCCTCTACTTTCTTCATCCTTGGACGCCAGTACCTGCCCAATTTCTAACATAAATTCATCATCATTGGATACCAAATGTTAAGAAGCATCCATCCTCTGCCGGGCACTGTGCAGATAGTGTATCTCATGTAATCGTCACAAGAGCTTGGAGGTAGGTGTAATTATCTCCACTTTTCAGCGGAGGCTCAGCCAGATCACCTAATATGCCTGAGGTCACACAGCAGGTAACTGCGAGACTGTATTTACCCCTTTCGTCAACCGGAACCTTGCCCCGATCAACGTTCAATAACATTTGTGTAGTGAATGAACAAGACACAGCGACTGAAAGTAAGTGAGCGGCTGTAACCGGCCACACTGGAGCCCCGCCACTCGGTGGCTCCGGACTCGGCGGCTCCGGGGGCGGCGGCGCG